TTTGGGGGGTGGACATGCAGCTGTTTGTGATCAGTCAGTCGATGTGGGCGACGGCTGCATGGCGGCTGTAGGTCATGGGCCACGACGCCAAGACGACGGCGATGGGCATCGCGATATTTCTGCATCCGGATGTCCCACCGCTGGTAAGCTTAGCGTATTGAGCTGTACCGTTTTGATTCCAAACTGCGCTCCTTCCCATTCTGCACTGCCCAGGCGTCTTGGCATCCACAATCATAAGTCGCTTTGCTGATTAGTACCGCCCCATTCGGTCTCTTGGCTGCACGTGGTATACAGGGATGCACAATCGTATGCAATTTGGTGCAGTTTTAGCACAAAGGAGAATTTGAGAAATCAGCGATCTAAATCCAACGCATCTCCAAATCTCTTGAATCAGGGTTGGCAACGCTGCTGCCTTCCGAGGTGCAACTGAGGGCGGATCAGGTCATGGGTCGCAGTGCTGTGCATAAGGTGAGATTATCTAACAGACAGTACATTTCTACTTAATATGGTCCATGGAATTGATTAAATCCCTACCCATTGTGGAGTTATGAAAAACCTCTCCTTCATGGAGCGAAATATGAATGTTGCTGAAAAGCAAGTAATTTACAATTCGGTTTTGTTTACTCACATGTTGCCTTGGTAGATCGCAACAAATGTAAGGAAATGCTAGACGAAAAAGTAGATAAATGAATGCGAGAATGTGCTTCAGATGCTGGGATGATATACTGCAGTCTGCGTGGATAGAACATTGGTTGATAAGTATTCTTGACTAAAAGCCTCCGAATGCGACAGAACCATCGACACTGTCTTTGCCGGGCAAAAGTGGGAGCTGGCGGCTACTTCGATGCTGAAAATAACACCAAAACTCTCTTATGTTCAACAATATTGACACAATTTCATGCGGCTCAGCACGGCAGATTTATTTACACCTGTAGAAAACAGCCTGTTTGGGATTCCAATTGCGAAGCCATTTGGCAAAAATTGATGCCATCGCAGCCACTTTTACGCCATCGCAATCACTGTGACGGCAACACTTTGTGTCAAAATAGCATCGCAGCTGCAATCGCAGAAATGCAGTTTTCTACCAGTGTCAAGAGAATGGCCAGTGTCAGAGCGGAACTGAAATTCATGTGGGCTCATTTTAGGGACCACCAGACATCTGTGGCGCGGACACTCGCAAGGCTGAAGGTCATGGAAGACGGGAATCTGAAGGCCATTTGTCTGTTGGCGAATCACCAGCCAGGGCTCGCATTTACAACTCGTCAACTGATGATTCCGACGCTTCATTGCACAGGCTGCAATCGGCCCAAAGCAGGCAAGAATCCTTGTGACTACGCCACAGTCACTGCTGCCATTCCTAAGCAATTTTACCCAAGGTTGCGATTACGCATTGGTGTCGCCCTGTTCAAGTACTGAATTAGACAATTTGATTCTATCAAGCCACCAATCGAAAATCCGCCAGTTTGCGAATGGCTAAAGCTCACAGCGGGAAATAAGGTCCTTCTTCGCTCTTTCTCATTGCATGGAACATTACATTCTGCAGTATTACCAGTACAGGACCACGATGTTTCAACAATATGACACGAATACTCACAGAACGAAACTGTGCGAAAAGGGCGTTAACATCCTCACCGCAACGAAAGACTTTTCGCATCACAAGATCAGATTATAACCTGTCTTTGTGATTAATTAATGTGATGTCGAAAACGTATGCTGACATAAATTGCTCATATGCGCGTCCCTGGCGCAGGGCACATGCCGCCAGTCCTCGATATCGGATCGCCCACCAGCTCCAGCAGCGCTGCGTCCCACCAAGCACCAAAATTACCAATTGCGTCAAACAGCGACGGCGTATAATCCAGATACTTGACAACGAGAGGCCTGCCAGCCGGTGGGGGGAAAGATCGTGTCCTCGCCTTATTGGCCCCACGCAGGACCGGCCGGTATTCGCCGACGTTTCCTGCAAAGGCCTTGGGGCCCGTCTCCAATCGGAAGGTATGCACAAGCTCATGACATACAATTCCAAGCGAGGCCCATCGGATGGGAGATCAAGTTGGGAGCTGCACTGCGGCGTTAAGGAGGCCTCCCGACCTTCGGAGCTGATGTTTGCCGACAGGCACGACACTGCGTGCAGAATTTTGCGCCTCGGGAACGTGCTGGGGAGGCTGGAATGCAGCGTGCATGAGTATGAAGACGTCTTGGACGGTGTGGGCTAGGGCCCAAGTGCAAACGCGGTGGCATTGCCCTGCGCCCTATTTCAGTCGCTCAATCGCGAATTACTTCATCAGTCGATGCTTGTCGCATGCTAAGGCATGGTTGCCTAGCTTCATGGGGCCACACAGCCTCCAGATTGCCAGAGAAAATGATTGCCATTGACTGGAGGGCGACGCTCAGAGCACTGCCACTGCAGCAGCGTCCCCCAGCATCCATCGACTTTCCATCGCACTGCGCTTTGGCAACCAGCATGTGTACATCTTTCATGCAGAGATGTGCAACATTAAGCAATTAGGCAAAGTCGCGTGCAGTCAACGAAGCGCTGAAACAATTATTAACAACAACAACAACAACAACAACAACAACAACAACAACAACAACAACAACAACAAAAAAAAATAACAAATAAGAATCAAGACTTCATCAATGAATAATCAGTGGCTGAACCTGTTGAACAATTTTTTGGATAAATCAGGCACTGGCGATCACGACTGCATGGCCTTGCAATTTTCAGGGATTGCCTGTCGCAGAAAGTTCTCACATTGTGCATGAAGCAACGGACAGCGAAGCCGAGCGTCAGGTGGTCGGCTCATGGAATATCGTATTTTCTAAGACCCTTCCACACCAAGAAATTTTAACTGTGCGCTTTTGCTCCGCATATGTTTTCAGAGCGTTATTTTTTTTACGCTGTTCCACAAAATTTTATTTAATGTTGCTCTGCGAAAAAGGCCAAGCTTTGCGTCACTACGCCGAAGACTTCAATAAAATACGGGTAGCCACGCAAACGTCACAGCCCCCCCACGTCACATCCACTGTGAATAAAACAACTGCGGCGTAGCTCATCGACGTCATCAAGCAAGACCCCTCGTGGGCGCACCAGCCGCAAAGGCTATCTGGGAAAGCAGCGCTGCTGCCCCCTAAACTTGGACATCCAAGCATTGCCATATCCGCATAAATTGCATCCGCTACCAGGTTGCGGTAGACTGATGTAACGTGCATAGGCTTTTTAACCTTTTAGCGTTTTCAGCTTTTTCAGGTTTTTTAGACTTTTAGGTTTTAAGGTCCCCGGCACCCTCCATGACCATATCCGACAATCCTCAAAGTAGAAAGGGCCCACCAGCTTCAGTAGCATCCGTGCCGTCTACTGACCCCAAGGAGGGGTGCGGAGTGAGCCGGCCTTGCCTCCAGCATGGCGCCCAAGGCCACGCCGCGCCGCCCACCCGCCGATGGTGAGATCCCGACCGACCGTGGCAGCCTCCCGCGGCAATGGGCGTGTGATTTGGCACGTCCTCGAATGAGCGATCGCAGGGGTCGGGGGCGAGGCCCCAGTCTAGCCTCTCAGCGAGAGCTGTATGGGGGTGGGTGGGTGGGTCCTGGGTGGAAATTGAGGAAACATGAGATGCAAACAAAAGTTTTGGCTGGGCACGGGCAGGCTTCGTGCTGAAGAAAAGCGCAAAAAGTAAAAGAAAAAGAAAGTAAAAGTAAAAGAAAGTAACGGGCGCTTCCATGCTGTGAAAAGTCGATGTAGAGTCTCCGATGCGAAGTGATGAGCCTGGACATGGGCATTTAGGTGTAAGGGCAGTGTCTTGTCATGTTCGTTTTGACAGTCTTGATCAAAGGTTTCAGCAACTCGGGCTATTGGGCTTTGCATCCTCCTTGTACTGTCTTGTGAGGATGCGCAGGGTCGGCATCTCTTCTGTCAGGAACGGGCCGGCGCCTGGTCTCTCTTGATTGTTATGTGATATGTGGCAACAGAACAGATACAAATGAGCACATGGTTTGAACTGTTTGGGGAAGTGTCTGTCAGCACATTCAAGTTCAGTAGTCGGGAAAAGAACAGTAAGGCCAGCACATAAGCGCCAGGGCAAAAGCCTCTGAAGGTTTGACAGAGCGACTCATGTTCATGTTGGGCCTTCCATTTCTGTTGGCATTGCCACCTTGTTCTCTGGACAGCTTCTATATGTGCGGTCAAGAAGCTTGCCACGTTTGGCCAACATAGCCTCGTTGGTCCTTGGAGCCTGAGCGCTCTGAAGCGCATTGGACTGTGAGCAATGTACTGCATTGTACAGTACTTGAAGTTCAACAAGTACTGTGCTGTGAAGACTGTGGGCGCCATCAATGAATTGGACATCTCACTGCCAATATTGCGCTGTGGCCAGAATTGTTGTGAGCGTGTGTGTCATACCACGTCCAGCTACTCGTGTTAGTACTTACTATGGGTAGTCCAGTGTGGTACATTATGTGTTTGCATGTGTGCTGCAAGGCTTTGCAGCAGTTTGGCACACAGCCAGGTTTGGCTTTTGCAATAATCACCGGGCTGAACACGTCTTGTCAAAAGGGGATGTACGCATATGTATGCAATACATCGCATCACGTGCTCCATGGTTGTCAAAGCCGTCACAACACACATTTGGTTTGCGCCAGTGCTCCCAATCACATGAAGGGACATGAGTAGGAGTCTATTTCTTGTAGCTGTATGTTTTGTGCTCTGTGTGGTGTTAGGTCAAGGTGTTCCTTCTGCCAACATTGTAAGGTCTTTGGGCTGACCAGCTGTGCTCATGGACAACCTCTGTGAGTTTGAACACAAATAAGTGCTTGGAACTATTGCCTGATGTCGCCATTTGGATGCAAGGGCTTGTGCTTTGTCTCATGACAAATGTAATCACAACAAGGATGTATGTGTTTAGGGTCTTGGCATGCTGCAAGAAACTGATGCTTTCCGGTGATCAGAGCTCACTGGGGACGAATGCAAGGCCAGTATTTCCTTTTTCACGTTGTTGTAATTGATGCATACAGTCACTCATTGGGGCCTTGTGCTGGTGGTTTGGTGCGCAGATGACAAGGGGAGGGGCTGGGACCTGCCTGTGCAGGATTCCCTGCATCTCGTGAGAAAGGCGAAAGACCAGGTGCGCACAAATCCATGGATACGTACATGACATAACAGAATAGCAGATAATGCAATGATACAATATTACACAATAAAATAATAACTGATGTGTACTTGTAACTCCATCGATTGTTGTTGTTGAGTGGTGACAAGACGCAACCCTTGCACCTGAAAGGCAATGCCAGGCATTTGTTCACTGCAGTGATATGATATTGTAAAGCAAAACGATTTGTTTGGATTCCCTTCTCTTCTGCTGGGATGGGGATGACACGTGTACACTTGAATGTGATGCAGTACTTTGCTTCTGATCTATTTGTAATATTGGGTTTGGTCCTAAACAATATGGTGGAATAAAAAGGGACTGTATGGATTGCGCACCCACAGGTGTTGTTCCTGCGGCAACTGGGGGATGAGCTACTGGAGGCCACCACATCCTACGAAGATGCTGCAGCAGCTGCAAGTATCATTGCCAGCGCCAGAACCGTGAGCAGCACCATAGTCCAGTGATGAAGTGCAAAAACAGCCCGTGAGATTTATGCAAGTATACTCAAAACATGTATGCAATGTTGCTTTTGTGTGTGCGATATGTAATATGCAATATATGTGCAATAGGAATGTAATAGATGCCATCAATGCGATAAGCAATGAGGGTTGCAAATCAGTTGGTGCAGGTAGTGCAGTTGATGCCGTAGACGGATGTGCACACAACTTTGCACCAACGATTGTACCATTTGCATTATGTCACTGTTGAGGGCGAATCCCCAGACAGCCTCAGATTTTGTGGCCGTTTGGGGTACCCCACAAAACAACAAGGTGCAAGGTTGGAATCCAGAGTACAAAGCACGATGCAATGTTTGAAGCCTGCTGCAACATTTTTATTGTGATGTAGTATTCTTGGAACTGAAGGACATCGCACAAGCAGTTGTATGTCATGTTTCCGTGGATGAAGGCCTGATAGTGCCACATTGTGGGACGCCCCTCATTGCTATGGACCTTGATTGAAACTTCTCGACAGTGCCTCGAGGGAGGGGAACAGCTGGGCTGCCTTGTTGCACATGCACAGTGTCTGCCAGAAACAACGGAAATTTGGAATTCCTATGTGGTGTTCAAAGCCTCTTGGCTGTTTGTCAGCATCATGACTGAGCTTCTCAAAATAGCAACAATGCACTTCATGTGCTTTGATGTGCAGTATGTACATCGCGCCCAAAGTGCTGTGTTGTTTACTTTGTTGTATTACTACTATCTGTCTTGCATTTACAAGTTCTATTGTTCATACAGTTGTTCAGTGCAGTACTGAATAGACAAATAAGTTGTCTTGGTTGTCTTTTGCTGCTTTGTGAATCTAGCAATGTTTGTGGTCGAACTTTGCATGAGTGCCATTCTTGCTGCGTTCAAATCCCACATTGGATCTTGGATCATGCAGGTTCGCGATCCTGGATCATTAGCTGCATCTGATCATGGTGGATGTGGGATCTTGGTTCCATGGTGGATGGCACCGCCGATGCGATTTGCAGGATTTTGTGTTTGCTTGTTGGTAACATCCAGTGCATGGGGCCTTGAAAGATTGGCGACTTACAACATTCAACTCTGGATGGATTGCAAGATCCGGCAGTGCACGACAGCCAGCGTTCGATTATGGTATCCAGCGCACAGCGATTTGCAAGCCCTGATGTTTATCGATATGCAAGACTTGGTGTTTGGTGACTCACAGGAAGCCGATACAACGCTCACCTCCCTGCATATCAACTTCGGCTCGCTGTCTGGCGTCCTGCCCTCTCGAAACCAGCCGTCCACAGGACGCGGCAGCATGCGAAGCAAGCAGAGTGTGAAGGAGTCCAGGGGTGTCATGGAGGTGTGCAGGTCCTGCGATTGCGTTTGACTGTCTGACAGTTCTTTCAGAAACGGTGGAAAAGTGAAAAAGAAAATGGTGGAAAATGTATAAACAATGGTGAAAACATAGTGGAAAAAGAAAACGGTGCAACCGAGTGCAATAAAGCATTGGGCCTTGCACAGGTTGTCCAAAGGAGTACTTCATTGTTTGGTTGTTGTTAGTACTGTTAGTAATGGCAATACACAGTTGAAACATTTCGAAGGTTCAATTGAATAGTAATGACAATATTGTTCAATTGAATATTTGAAAATTGTACCAGTATAATGTGAAAAAGGGACAAAGCCCTTGAGCATTGGGGGCGATCCCAGGGGGGTATACTCACAGGATTTACGTATGCGATCCAAGTAAACGTTATAGTGCAACCTGAATTGTTTCCACATTTTTTATACTTCCTCTGTCCGGAATTAATTGTCCTCTATTTCAAAGATCAATTTAATTATGTAAACGGCTTTGAAAGTACATAAAAGTCATAATCGAAAAGGTCTTGTTTGACTGCCGCAAAGGCGTGCTCCTCACCATCATGAAAACAGCCGTTTCGGTGAATTTGTTTAAAAACAGGTGGGTTTATGGCAGGAGGCCCCTTCCTGCAATGTTTTGCCAAATAATCAATACTCAATGGATTGACTTGAAATTTTGACATTATACTCCGAAAATATAGGCGCACCTTTGGAAGAAATTTATTGAAAAAGAAGCTTTCATAATGGAGAAATAGGCGCCAAAATCATAGAGGACAATTAATTCCGGACGGAGGAAGTATTAATCAGAATTTGATAGCTTTTATACGACTTTTCAAATACTTCTTAATCACTGTTGGATTAATTACTTTGTACTGTTTTGTTAGATTGATTACTTTTTAAAGTGAAAGCTGTGACCTTAGTTGACACAATCGATTGTTAACTGGGTTGAGCAATTGTAATACTAATTCCACTGCCATGGAGGTGTGTTTGGTGCTCCGTGAGGCACGTCATTCCTGTTACAACCAGTGAGCCTCACAGAATCTGTGTTGAATCATTGCTAACGAATTTTTGAATTTTCATTAACTCATATCATTAAATCAATATGCTGTGCAAGCATAGACAGAGCATCACAATGCAGTCCTTGCCTAAGAGGATGAGTGCCGCTTGCATGACACCCCTCCACTGTGTTTCTATGAAAGAAGATACAACAATGGAATGGTTATCTCTTTCTTTCCTTTTCCTTCTTTTTATGCCCTTTTTCCGAGTGAGGACTTTTCTATTTTTTCTTTCCCCTTTCTTTGCTCATTCTTTGTCGAAACGAAGCTTTGCTCTCCGTCCACGTGCCCTGGGCCACCCCAAAATGTGTTGACATCTTCTGTGCCATCTCCACCACTGCGAAATGACCCTCCAAAATCCAGTCGTTTTGTCTCAGAAATGAACAGAAATTTCGTCAGAAACAGCGAAAAATTGACCAGGATGCAGCTCAGAAACAGCTCAGGGACTTTCAAGAAGGTTATCAGAAATGCGGCATCCATTGTGCGGCCTTTTCGTCCCACTGAAGCGTTGTTTGGTCCTGGAGAGGTACTCTGCTGCAAAGCGGCACTGCGGCATGGCCCTGGAAGCTTGGCGGAAGGAGGCGCAGGGAAGGGGCGAGCTGGGCTGTGGTGGAGGGTCTCTGGATGGTGCTTTGTACTGCCCACGGTTGGTGAAGGAAGGGTGGACAAGTATGCCCGACTCTTGCCTAATGGGCCTCATTTGTTTGACTACATTTTGGTGTTGTTATTTTTTTTGTGTTTGCACTTGAGGTGAACTTACTTGAGGTGGTATTGAACTTGAGTAGTTGGTGGATGAATCCATGCGAACCTGGTTGGATTGAAGTCACCAGGATGCGACATAGGGCTGCTTCTGTGGAAACAATCGAGATCCCTTGCATGGCAAGTGCTTGATTTCCATGGTGTTCATACCATGGTATTATTTTATGGTATTTAGATTACTGCAGCACAGTATGACTCTTGTTTCTGCAGCACCACACACGCCACGACCTCTTTTAAGAAGAGGTCATGGCGTGTGTGGTGCTGCAAAAACATGAGTCATGCTGCGCTGCAGTAATTTAAGTACCACAATATGATGACAATGTTTAGTTCTGATTCCAAAACCGAAATGAAAGCCGTAACAAGCTGTGCCGGTATTCCTGAAGGGCATGGGCATCTCAGTACAATGTTCGCCTCCCGTGTGGCACCCGAAAGGCAAGGAAAGATAACCAAAAATTGAGGAAGATACCAAAAGTATGAGTGCACAGAAACCAATCCCCAGCACAACAATCTGCTGGTGCGCCTGCAACAACTGTCAGGCCTCTTCACCCGTCCAAGCAGGAGGAAATCATGGTCGCCACCTCCTGAGAAGGGTGGCGCCTGTTTGCACATGCATTTGAGTATTCGTTACTTGGCTGTTTGTTGTTTGTCGATGTATGTGCATATTCATTCATCTACTTCCTGTCTCGTGCAACAATCATC